CGTACCTCGTCATAGTCAGGCGGTGGGACAGCTACTCCATCATCATCGACTGGGGACTCGGGTTCGTCTTCCTCACTACTTTCAGCGCTGCTACCATTCAGTAGGTTATAAAAGTGTTCCCTCCACAATTTAAGTATATTCTGGACATCGGTCACTAGGTCGCCATTGTTGTTCTTACAGGAGTTCGCCCCGGTCTTGAAACCTTGCGTAAGTCGCCTAACCCTCTGGTAGAATTTTCGAGCGTGAAGCCTTGCGACGTCTACTACAGTTCGACTGTGAGCTTCCAAGTGGTTCAAAAAAGTTTTACAGCTTTCCAAAAACCTGCTGCCGTTTTATAAGAGTCTAAGGCCTTTAACCTGCCTGACTATCCGACATAATATTTAATTTTGCCCCATTTGTCTTTCTACACAAACTTCGATTGCGAATACACTCCCCTGGAATATGTGTTGAGTATGTGTAATTCGCAGACTTTCTGAAATTTTGGTCCAAATACGCCTTCCCCAGTAGTCTCGTCGTCTGATCCGTCGGAATATCATACTTGTGACCTCTCGTCAATCATAGTTATTATCACTTTACAGCAGTCGCTTTTTTCAAACAGAATAGACAAAGGAGGAATGCCTGTAATGACACCAAGGGCATCCGTTGGACTGGTGCCCATAGCTCCTGTAATGGCCACGCGGACCAGTCGGTGCAGCTTGCTAAAGGTGGCACACGCCTTTACTTGCGTAGCTTTTGGTCACCAGGCCAGTGCTGCATGTGTGACAATGGGTCCTACTACCATATTAAAAGACCAATAGGTTAGTTTTGGTGATATTCCTCAAGTCTCACAATGAAGTTTCTATCAGGTGAACAATGGTGGACTCCACCGGTGAAATAGTCATGTAAACAAAGTTGTTAAAATGTTTGGAGATACATATTTTATATTTTTCTCTAATAACTATTATTGTGGCTGAACCTACCAAAATCCAATCTTGCCTACCAACCTACCAAATGGAAAAAAACCTACCAGTTTTGGCCTATGTTTGGCAACACTGGTGACACTCCTCTACATCCTGGGCGTTTGCAACGGATTCTCTTCTCGGGTCAAACTTGGTCTTGCCTACAGGCAATTCGAGGATCATGTTGAGCAGGACCCTTACGCTTTTTCGCTTGAATATCTGCTTCTATTCCACCTCTGCGTTTTATGGTTGTATTTCTACCTCATTTGCACAAGACCGTAGCAACTTCCAAACGAAGATCAGCTGATGACAAATGATTGTCCTGCAAATTCTTTTCTTTGCGAACTCTTTTGTATAAGAGCCATGTGTAAGACTGGGCTCACAGAAAAACTTTTGTTGCTCATTTTCGGCAATTTTTCTTTTGGCGTTGCCCTTCGCGTTTACACAGAGCAATTCTTTTGTACACAATCGTTGTTGTCAGCTGTGAACGGCCAACTAAAATTACTGAGATGAACGAAAGCACAAAGCGTGTTGCCCGAGCACGAGCAACTCGTTGACCTTCCCCCTTCCTCGTTACTCCGTCTCCAACAAGTAACGAGTTGCCGCGACAAAAGTTTCTCTGTCTGAACCTAGACTTAGGCATTACAAGATCTAATAAGTGGTATACATGCGAACTTGCCATATTTTACTTATCAACATTACTTTATAGCGGCCCATGCAGCTGTCGATGAGATCGACCTCATCCATGTGACGATTATACTCGCTCTCTATGTAAGGTATTTCAATGGTAATATTTTTTTTTTTTGCCTTATCATAGCGCCATACTTTGGATTTCGGTAGCTCACCAGCAAAACTAGATGCTAGAGTAACAGATTTGTGGTCCTTCCAAACAACGGTAGCTACATCTATCCCTCCCACATTTGCTACATATTCGACAGAGAGCCCACTACCCTTTTTAGAAATATCTTTTATATCTTTTCAAGTTATTCCTTGCTTTCGTTGAGCAAATTTGTTCATCCACACAAAGCTGACACTTTAGCGGAATTTGCATACATGTCTCGTTCAGTTTTGTCAATATTGGTCGAATCTTAAACAGTCTATCCGCGTTAGAATGCTCACGAAGAATCATATTGGAATTGTAATTGAAGTATATAAATTGCATGATCTTTTCAAATTTATTCGTTGACATCGTTTCCTTTATGAAGGGTGCTCCGATTTCATAATTCCAATGTTTTGTCACTATTGGGAGATGTATCAAAGACATTATATACGTTATTCCAATAACAATAGCTGGATGTCGATTTCGGACACATGAAAATTCTTGTTGGGGTCCTTTCTGTAATGTAAGTATTCAGGAATAATTCTTAGGGAAATATTTTTAGAAAAAAATGGATGGGCGTCTCTAAATCCAAAATATCCGTAGTTAGTTCTTCCGTTCATGTCAATCGAAGTTGTTCATTTAATTCAGTACTTTTTTTCTTCCAGGCAACATTCTTATGTTATATTTGCTCTAAGTCACTATCAGAGTTATTGTTTTCAATTTCATTGTGTCCTGGAAGTTTAAATTTACATTGTTCTCCGGCATCGTCACTTTCGAACCCGTCCTCACTGTCCTCCAAATTCATCAATTCCTCTGTTCAACTAATAAGCTGCGGAAAGCCATTCTGTTGGAGTAAAGCAAAAACCAAGTCCCGGGAGTCCCGAGCACTTCTTGAGTCCCGAAATCTCGGGATCAAGCGCTCGGGATCTCGGGACCCTGGGATATATTTTAATTTATGACCAAATTAAAATAAAATAAGATTCAAACACTGTAATGGCATCAAAGAATTATAAAATTGCAACCCTACAAATAATCAAATAATATATTACAATTCTAGCACTACTAATATTCTTTATTAAAATATATATAACATATAGATGAGGCATTCTTTTTTATATCGTACACCAAATTTGGTGTCACAATTTCGTTTAGCTTCACATTTTTTCTTGTTTTCTTCGTGATTCCGACTAATCAGGGTAATTTTAAAAGTTTGATATATCGGGTTCTGTTCATTGTAGAGACTTCATCTTAACGCCGTTTTAAAGCTAAAGAAACATTTCTATATATATGATCACCATAATTGTCCTTAAGTTAACTTAGCTTTAAAATTACTTTGCTGGTTCAATTCTCACACTCTCACAAAATAAACCTTCTCGCAATAAAAAAAATATTTTGAAAATAATTCTTGAAAAACGCCAATATTTTTGAAACATATTTTTTTAATTAAACAAGGATTTGGATAGTGTAATTTTAAATCCCAAATTTACTGGTCTTCACAATGCAAATCAGCAAAACTCAACTGTTAATAGCTAAGTTAACTTTACGACATGAAACGACGTTAAGATGAAGTCTCTACGACGACCAGAATCCGAGATATAACAATCTGAAGAAGTACATCAATGGTCAGAATCACGAAGAAATTCGAATTCTGGCAGATCATATATCCGAAGAAAAAAAAGAAAAAAATCCTTGAATACATGTTAGCTTATTTCACGTATAGAACCCATAATAAATTTTAAGCGAACCATTTTTTACGAAATCTGTCCTACTTGTATATATACAACACCAGGTAACGGTTATATTATGATTGTTCTCATTTCTGGTATTAAAATTCAACACGGCAAAGCATACTTATATATGTACATTAAATTAAATTGTTAGGGCCTGTGCCCCAATGTTTGGCCAAGCATCTCCAAATTGTGGTGTGCATGCTGATGTTGACACACAAAGAGTCAAGAGCTAAAAATATTAACATTTTAAAATATCACAATTGTTTTGTTTAACCTCTTATATCCACTTCACTTTTAAATTGCGCCAAATAATATTTATATAGTTGAAATAAGCGTAAACAGTACTATTGATCTGCAAATCAAAAATAAAATACAGTTGTGATTTGATGCGGATAATTTAATTCTATCAATCAAAAACGATCAAGAAATGGAACTAGGCCGCGCGGGCATAATTCATTTTGCCAAGTGAAATCAGACCGCGTTAAAAAAATGAAATTACGCCGCCAAACAAATAAGATGGCGGCCTTAATTTACGCGGTCAAAATACCATGCCCCAAAAAAAGTCTATCATTTTATCCTTGACAACGTCTTGAGTAATATGAAGTAATAACTGTCGTTCCATTAAGTTCACCCACTTATGCATGATCATTTGTACATATATATATTATTCAAAGCTATCGTCTCGTGATCAAATTAACATGTGATAAAAGGTTTTGTGACAACTTGTCCAGTGATAAACTATTATGTGATCAAAATAACTTGTGATAAAATGTCTTGTGACAACTTGTCCAGTGATCAACTGTTATGTGATCATTTGTCTAGATGATAAAATTTGCGATCATTTGTCCCGTGATTAACTGTACCCGTGATATATAGGGGTGATACCATCGACAGGTCGCGACCTCTAATTGACCTTTAAAAAATCTATAAAAATGGGCAATAATATTTCTCATAAAAACGAATAAAATTAGGGGGTAGGGTCTTAAAAATTTCCAAAAGAAGCATTTTCGATGGGCACCCTAATATATACAATATGAAAGGGTGGAGATGACCTCTTATTTTTTACTTTTTGTAAAAATTACTGCAATGTGAATGAATTTCAGTGGCATAGCTTCTAGTTTATTCGGTTTGTAATTAGCTTTTTAAACTGATATAAAATAAAGACAATTAGGGGATTCCCTTAAACTCGTAAAGTCTTAAACTCATAATTTTACGAGGCTATTACGGGAACGCCCCCGTTTTGCAAATGTGCAAATAGGTGCGTAAAATGACTGTTTGACAGGTTGAAACGGGTTTTGTGAATATATTTTTGTTTCGTGGTATTTTTCATAACAGCCCGTCAGCTCGAATGAAAGCTAAAATATAGTTAAAAATGCAAGAATTAGCAGAAAATCCATATTAATACAGTTGTGGATGAAATTTATTAATTTTATTCACCTAATATGTTTTCATTTGTTTTCAGTACTTTATCATACATTTTAGTATAAAATCTCCGGCCGCTTGGCAACACTGAAGTCTACGAGGCCGTTTGGGTATCAAATTTGCCTCGTAAATTGACGAGGGACTCGTAAATAGAGCTTCATACAAATTTTTACAGTTCTTTTACGAGGCTCGTAAATTAACAAGCTTTACGAGGTTTACGAGGCTTTTACGAGTTAAAGCGAAGACTCCTATTTATATTTATTTGGTTAAAAACACAAATTAATTTTTATTTCTAGTATCCGTGGCTGCTGCCTGAAATTCGAAAAAATGCAATTTTTTAAACTACCACTGAGGCCGCACTACTCAGTCCATGTCATTGATGTGGATATCAGTAGAAGGGTCTTCAAACAAGCTATCTAACGCTATCTCTTGTGTTTATAAAATATAAATATATCATAACGTTATCGCCCGAAAACTAAAAATCGGGCTGCTGAAAATATACAATTCGTGCATTTTCTCAAAAACTGGTCAGTCGATTTTATTCTAAGTTTCCACAAATCTAGCCAAAAACCTTAGCTTTCATCTGGTATACAGCTTATATCTGGGAAAACTCTTGTTGTGGAGGTATTGCGATTCAAATTGAAAAAATGTCGCTCCAAAAAGGGTCAAATGGTTAAAAATTAACATATCCGTCTAATTTGGTTATTTTAAGATATAAAAATAACTTACCCAGCCCCTCGAAAAAATTTTCCATTCCCCGATTGCCACTTAAACCGATGAAAATCGGGGAATTTTCCGCGAGTTGACAAGTTGAAGGATGCAGCTGTGCTAATCACTTCGTAAATGTCTTGGAAACCACAATTTGTGTGTATTTTAGAGCACTTAACCTACCTGGGAAGACGCGTACAATATTACCTATAGTTGTACATAAATATGTATGTATGAATGCATTTAGTTCACCGAATGTGATGCTACTACTTACATAGATATGTATAAATTGCCACTGAGCAAAACTACTTGAGAAAAAAGCATTAGTTTAATAGCACGAGTGCAACATCGTACACGTGATAGAAGTAAAACTTCTTAAAAAAGCACATGTGTGCGCCCCACACTCGGTAGAAATCTTAACAAAAATAAACTACGAGACAATCAGACGAATTGTTGTTTATTGTATCCAAAGTTGGTACCAAGTTGATAAGTTTTTATGATTTCTTATATTTTTAATTTTTAATTTTTTCATTCTTTTTCGCTTTATTTCGTATTCGAAAAATTATGTGTTTCAATGGACACATCGATTTGAATACATAATTCGCCGATGGATTGGACGATACGGGCCAATCACGTGGCCCGCTCGATCGCCAGACCTGAATCCATTAGATGTTTTCTACTGGGACTGTCTTAAGGACAACATTTATTCAAAACAATTCAAAATGAAGAGCATTTGCGGGAACAAATAAATGGAGCTGCTGCTGAGATAGCCCAATTGAATTTAAGATCTCTAAAGGCGTATTTTCTTAAAAGGTGCCGAGCTTGTATTAGAGTAGAAGGTCGCCAATTTGAGCATATTTGATCAATAAATGAATAAATTTTTCTGCAAACAATTCATGGATGTTTTATTTCACGTGAACCCATCCGTCACAAAAAATATTGATAAATATAGCCCTTGTTATTGACTCTAGTCCGCATCTCAAAGGTGTTTTCGTTGTCGGTCAGAACATGGTATAAGAGTGGCACCTTTCTGAAATCTTTGGCTGCGTTTCTTTATACATTCCGGAAAATCCCATTTCTCGTCCGGAATAAACAGAATGCCTTTGAAATATACGTTAACATATCATCAGGAACGTTCTAAAGAATAAGTAAACAAAAAAGTTTATTCCAAAAGTTCAGAATGAATAAAGAAATGCAGCCTTTATTAAAGGAGCAATTTATTTTCATCAGAGATAGTCAAAGTTGGGGAAGAAAATATCAAAAAGTTAAAAATCCCAAAATAGTCCTAATTTTATAATGGTTTCTTAATATATTTTAACTACATTGCATTTGAGTATGGAGAAGCAACTATCTGAAAGTATTTTACATAAAAAATTTACTAAGTATAGCCTTGTTTGTAGATGCAGTTAAAGAAAATACTTGAAAAGGCATGATTTTNTTTCAATGGACACATCGATTTGAATACATAATTCGCCGATGGATTGGACGATACGGGCCAATCACGTGGCCCGCTCGATCGCCAGACCTGAATCCATTAGATGTTTTCTACTGGGACTGTCTTAAGGACAACATTTATTCAAAACAATTCAAAATGAAGAGCATTTGCGGGAACAAATAAATGGAGCTGCTGCTGAGATAGCCCAATTGAATTTAAGATCTCTAAAGGCGTATTTTCTTAAAAGGTGCCGAGCTTGTATTAGAGTAGAAGGTCGCCAATTTGAGCATATTTGATCAATAAATGAATAAATTTTTCTGCAAACAATTCATGGATGTTTTATTTCACGTGAACCCATCCGTCACAAAAAATATTGATAAATATAGCCCTTGTTATTGACTCTAGTCCGCATCTCAAAGGTGTTTTCGTTGTCGGTCAGAACATGGTATAAGAGTGGCACCTTTCTGAAATCTTTGGCTGCGTTTCTTTATACATTCCGGAAAATCCCATTTCTCGTCCGGAATAAACAGAATGCCTTTGAAATATACGTTAACATATCATCAGGAACGTTCTAAAGAATAAGTAAACAAAAAAGTTTATTCCAAAAGTTCAGAATGAATAAAGAAATGCAGCCTTTATTAAAGGAGCAATTTATTTTCATCAGAGATAGTCAAAGTTGGGGAAGAAAATATCAAAAAGTTAAAAATCCCAAAATAGTCCTAATTTTATAATGGTTTCTTAATATATTTTAACTACATTGCATTTGAGTATGGAGAAGCAACTATCTGAAAGTATTTTACATAAAAAATTTACTAAGTATAGCCTTGTTTGTAGATGCAGTTAAAGAAAATACTTGAAAAGGCATGATTTTTTTTAATTCAAAAATATTTCAAAAAGGGTGACACTTTTACCTGAAAAATTTTTGCTTATCAGGGAGCTCACCACCACACCTGCCTTCTCCTCAAGATTGTCAGGTTACTTCTGGGACACCCTGTATATCAGACGCAATTCATTGCTGTCACGCGGTCAGTATTTATTGACGTGATCCAAGTATCGCGATATTTATTGACGGTGTAGCATGCAGTATTGATGGATCGTGATCCATACATCGTAATACCGTCAATAAATATTGAACGTGTAGCACTTTCAAAACGCGATCCATACATTTTGTCAGTACATCTTTTACTCTCATAATGCAAACATCGAAAGCGTATTCGCTCTGAGTTCGGTCTCGGTGCTTAAAACCTTTAAGAACAAATCGAAAGTAGTTTAATTAACATTGGAAATTTTAAAATAATTGTGGAATGCATTATCCGTAAATTATACGTACAAAATAAAAATATTTTCTTACGTCATAATAAGCGTTCAGCACAAAAATTATGCAAATACTGACGCGATAAATATTGAACATGTAGCATTCGTGCGCGATCCATCAATCCATCA